TATATTTAATTAGCTTTGTGACATGCAAGGCACTGTGGAGCACAGCAATAGAGCGTATGGGAAACACATATAGATACACACACAGTAAGCTGCTGCTGCTCTTATAATTATCAAACTGTTTGTGGTTTATTGTGTTGTGTTGAGGGACAGACACTGGACTCAGGGGCAATCTGCACAGTGCCTTTATTAAAACTCTAGGCCACTTCTGTGGAATCCTGCTCAGATACTGTAATGACATTCTGGCACTACAGTATCAAGCAAGTTCACTTTCATTGTCTTCTGGTTCACAGGAGACCATCAAATAAATGAATAAGAGCTAGGAAACTCCTGAGATAACATCAGGGCAGAATGCACCAGTCTCAGTCGGTGAAAAGTTGGGATAGTTTTTGTCACTTTTAGTAGTTTTCACAAGACAAAATAAATCTTGTTGCAAGACATTTAAACAACACTAGCTAAACAATTCACCTTCTTCCAAGGTACTGAACAGATATAACAGGAAGTACTGATCACCTTCAAGAAGTCTTTATTATCTTTACTCCGAGAGAGTTCCTGTGGATTTTACAAGTGGTGTTCCTGTGGTATTGTCTTGACTTGTTTTGTATTTGTGCTCTTGCTACTTTCACCAGAGCCATAAGCTGACCTGACAAAGTTGTGGAGGTGACTATAAAGTAGAGGACAAAGATACTTTGCTGCTCTTCACTTTCAAGGAGCCAGTGGGTGGGCTTGTGGTTTGTCAAATGACCACATCCTCTGCTTCTCTTTGGCTAGATGAAACCACCCATTTACTATAATATCCATTATCTCCTATTCCACTTAGTGAGTTAGTGTCCCACACACATTTTTAATGTATATGGTTTTAGATGCAGTGCATTGACTGTCTTTACAAACTTGTAAGATCTCATGTCAAGTCTGAGTTTGTTTCTAGGACGATTATTTAAGATGCCAATCCAGTATAATGGTGCAAAAAATTTAAAACTATAATGATAATATGGGTGGATAATATTATTGAAGTTCTCATGAATAGAGATGTAAGAGTTACGTGTGTAGTAATACTGAGCAATGAGCATGGCTATAAATATAACTCTCACTCCCCCCTCACAATTAGATCTATAGAGTGAGGGTATTAACAAATATCTTTACTACCTCATAACTGGCAGGTCAAAGGTTCAGCAGCGCTCAGTGGCAGCTAATAACAAACCTTACCAAAATGTCCTCGAGCAAGACACTGAAAACCCATCTGCTTACTCAATAAATATTCAACTTCTCCAGCCAAACACAATTGAAATGTATATTTGAATTTTGAGACAACAGGGATAAAGCATTATGAATCTGCATTTTATGTTACTCCATAAAATAAAGAAAAACGTGTTTCAGGAAAATGGTTACATGATACCATATTTGTGACCTGCTTGGTCCAGTTGTACCCTCATGGACCATTAGGGAGGGAACAGAAATTTGTACAGATGTCTTTATTCTGGACATAAGGGAATTTGACACGTGGACTTTATGACCTTTACAAGGTTTTATAGGGTCAAAGGTCACAGGAGAGTCTGTGTTTTTCACAGTAATGCAATATTAAGAACTCAGCTGTGGATCCCTGTGTAATAGCACAATTCAATTAACTTGACAAAATACCTGTGAAATACTATAAATGAATTGCTGCAATATACTACAAGGTCATTTAGAGCTGGCAGAGTAAATAAATAAATTAAATTGAAACGATGAAATGAAAATACTAAAGGTTCCATCACAACTCATCACACACACACACACACACACACACACCAGCTTGATCTTTTGTATGTCCAGTTGTATTGCTTATGCTGTTATCTTTTTTACATGTCTGCTAGCTCATTTACAGGTATTATAATTACGGTTTCAATGGTGAGTCTTTTGGATAGATACGTCTATAGTTAGTTCGTGCAAGCAGGAAGTTCAGAGTAACAAACGGGAGAGTTTGGGAAGATCTAAGTGTGTGTGGCCTTACCGAAAGGATAAAGCTGAGCCGCTCAAGAGTCAGACACCTTGGAGGATCTACTCTCAACCAACACTCATCCAAGCTTTATTTTAGAAACTTCACACAGAAAAAAACTATTCACAGAGCTTATTAGGCAATGCTTTGAGAGAGAATAACCCCTGCTGCCAGTGGCTGTGATGGTTATTGCCTACTCGCCAGACTGATTTGTATGGCACTCACCACCAACACCAGCTCTGCCTGCCCTCAAAAAGTGCTGAGCTAGTCCACTCTTAACAAAATTGAACACCTTGCGTTTATGGTAGTGCACCCACCAGATACCCATTTCAGATTTTCGTTGGGTTTATTTTCTGGTTTATTTCCTGCTTTCTTTAAATTTTGTTTTGTTTGTTTCTCTTCCAGTTTTTCTGTCCTTCCCTACGTTTCTACAGCAACAGAGATTATCTCCCCAGGCTGGAACACTTACAAAAGTTTTGTAGACTTGTAATGAACTGATTTTGGGTTATGGAGTAAAAGTATAAAATTAAATTAAAAAATATTCTCCAGTATAAGGAAAAACATGTTTTCAAGACCTTTTTTAGTTAGTTTAATTCAAAATGGAATGATAAGTTTTCACTGTTTTAAAGGGATGGATTAAAATACAAAAACCCTCCCGACGCAATTTATAGATTCAGATAATATGCTGATGTGTATAATGTTTAATAAATGGCTGTGCAAATTATGCAGTGCCCTCTGCTGCACGTCGAAAGGTTCTGGCCTCCACATTGTCCATTAAATCCTAATAATGGACACCACCTCGGGCATTATTGCTTAGCCTTCATAAATAACTATATATTATTTGATTTGATTTGATATGTTATTCTACTATAATTTTTTTTTTTTCATTTTGTTGTACAACCTAGTGTTTCCTTGATTTTTGTAAATAAAAAATAAACTATCATACTACTATTATATATAATGTATGTATGTGTGTAGGTATAGTATATAAGTCACAAAATACTCAAGTGAAAGGCTTTAAGCTGCAGTAACAATAGACCACTGAGTTGCCCTTTCACACCCAACTCCCTCCGTTACATCACTATACAGTATTCTCTGTATCTCATTTCTCTTTATTTCGCAGTCTCTTCTAACTCTGAATCCTATCACTATTTCAAGTCTCTTTCTTCACAAGCTTTAGCTTGCCTTAGACTGAAAGAGACAACTCCTGCTTGCTGCTGATATAAAACTGATCTCTGCTAAATAATTGCCTCCTGAGGTAACTTTAATATTGGTTTATTGCCCCTTTGATGAGGCATTTATCTGCTTATACATCTGTCCGTTTTCTTTCTCCTTTTCATTTAGGTTTATAGTAGATTTTACACAAAGGCCGACAGAGTCACATAAGGAAAGACATGTACATAGCAGCATTCTTTGTTCCTGTAATATTTTTCTACATTTTACTAATCTTGGATCTTCCCTATGTTTCATGGTTGTCTAATCCTCTAGTCTCTGCCCCTCTGCCTCCATCCTCATCCTATTTCAATTTTTTCTATCTGCCGATACACAGGCTGCCTGCCGGGTGGCACCACCCATACTTTATAACACTGCCTTCATTACCCAGCCCACTGCAGCTGGCCATAAATGAAAAACTGAAGATGTGGCAGGAAGAAAGGGAAGAGAAAAGTAAGGGAGGAAGACTAGGAAAGGAAAGGGTCAAAAACCACAAACGGGGCAATTGTGAGAGAGATAGTAAGGTTGGAGATGGAGCAAGAGAGATTGAGAGTCGGTGAGCATGAGAGTGAGCAGGAAGTACAGTGTACAGAGACAGACTGAAAAGGGAAAAAAGCAAGGAAGAGCAAAGCCATAAAATCTAAGTTGGAAGTTATTGGAGAGTGGCTGGATGAAAAATGCCATTGCCATAAAATAATATTAGAATTGGTCTGGCCTTATGGCATTGATGAATACAGATGCTGCCCAGCGGGGTCTTTGGCTGGAGGAAACTGGCTAATTTGAACAGCCATCCTACCTGTGAGGGCGGTAAAAAGTATTAGAGGAAATGAAATGAAAGGTTCCCTGTCAGTTGTTTAGTTTATAGCCCACATTTCCATCGCATAGCTGGTTAGGTCAGACACAAGTCCCTCTTGCTAAGAATAGCTGCCAGCGGGGTAGTTAACCATGTGTGCAGGATTTATCATTAATATCCCTAAAATGAACTGCGAACCCGAGCAGAAAGGGACCCACTGCAGCTTTAAACAAATATAATGCATGACACGAATCAAACCTTCTCTCAATCTTGTACACTGAAATTATAGCATATTTTACCCCCATCCCGCTCCAACACATTGTCAATAATTGGCCCGAAGGGGCCATGAGTAGCAACAAATTGATGACAACTGATTGAAAAGGGACCAGCTGAAATCTGATCAGCTATATTGACTGCAGGATATTGAAAAGACAGCTGGACGTCTTAATTACCGCTGCGTCATGGTAATGCCATTTTATCACATTTAAATTGGTTTTAGCGAAGGCCATCGGCAAACCATAAGGTCATTCTGATCACAAGGGGAAGTGAATTAAATAAAATTATTCTCTTGAATGCATCTCAACAAAAATCAATTAGACAATTTTTGCAGAGACTGAGAAATGTAGAGAGATTATGTTGTAAGAAAAAAAGAGCGATATACAGTATATAATTGAATCTATGTAATTCGAATGAAGTGGTGCAATCGTTGTTAGAGCCTATACTGAAAATCCATACGTGCTTTGTTAATCTTTAAGTTGTCAAACGACAGTGTTTATGTAGCACTGCCACCAACATATTTTCATTCTTAGCAAATGTAACCCAGTAGATAAATAGATAGATAAAACTTATAACACTATAAGTTTGGTTTTATTTTCATTCTTACTTTCTGTTCGCTAAAAAATGTGTAAATCAAAGTAAGGTTGCTTGGCCTTTATTCTTACTGGCTGTATTAGTCAATACAGACATCTGATTGGAGAAGGGAATTAAGTCCCACCCCTCCAGGTTGATGTTCGGCAGCGCAGTCAAAGTGACAACACGAGCAGACAAGTAGTTATAAACTAGTTAAGCTGAAAAAAAAAGAGCGTGGATAAATTAAATTAAAGCAACCTTGAGACGACACATAGGAGAAGTGGAAGAGGTGATTATATGATCTGTGTGCCAGGAGTTGAATGCTTTTAGCAGAGTCTTGGTGAGTTAAGTTTTGAGTTTTGCTAATGTGGCTAACAATAGTAGCCAGTGCTGTCAGCCAACACGTGGCACCGCAGCGTGTTTTCCTTTTCTTATTGCTTATATGTTAACTTTACATTGTACATGTATTGATTTTGAGAGTTAAAGCAGTATATCTCTGTTAGGAAATATTAAAATTATGGGTTATAGCAGTCTTTTACTTTGGTGTAGAAGATTACTTTTGTACTTAACTGTTTACACTGGAAGTGTGGCTGCTAAGTTATGCACTGCTAGTGCTAATAATAATAGGTAATGTTGGATATGGAAAACTGGATATGTGCATTTAAGCTATAACCTTTTATAAGAAAATATAAGGTGTGTAAAATACCTAATGTGGTTATTTCATAATTTAAAGAGAGTTGTTATATACATAAATATGCATGTTATCATTTAAAAAAAAAAGGAAAAGAAGTCCTATGTTAACTTGATGGTTAAAACATTAAATAATCATAATTCATGGTTAAAAAAGCTACAAATAGTTCATGAATGGTGTGAGGATGATAAAGTACTCCATAGGAGAAATGCTGTACAGTTAAAAATATTTCATTCATTTAATTACTATTGTGTGCAGTAGTATTTTGATGTGATTTCATATACCATTGTCATGGTGAAGTGGGATGTCATTGACTCAATGTAGTAATAGCCTTATTCTCATACAGGCTAGGTTTTTGAGATTCCCTGGAGATACCCTTAGATTTGGATTTTGGATTCTCCTTGACGAAGGAGATGGCGAGCCAGTACTGAACCAGATCCCCTCCTTATCCCAAGGAGTTGGAACCATCTTCGCCCAGAGGAGAAGACCATCCCGGCCTTCACTCTCCATCATTTGAGTGGTAGGACTGTGACAACTTCACACCTTACCATATGACTTCTGACAGAACTAAAACGTTTTGAACTGAAACTGACCCTCTGACTTAAGCTAGCTGAACGGACGACGACTAACTAAACTGGAACTTGAGTGGATCAAAGGAATCCTGGACTTTATTAATCTTGAACTCTATTCATACCAAAGACATTTCCTCGTGGAGTTGAACTGTGTTGGGTATTATATTTCTAAGGTGGTTTATGTTAATTTCTTAAAACACTGTGAAACTATTTTTGTTCCAGAGTCCTGGTTAAGAAAGGACCTTTGTTATTTTTCATTATACAACTTTCAATACATTCACATTTGAAGTTAAAGTACCCTGTGGCTCCAGTTGCTTATTGTGTCTGTCATACTCTTTCAACTCCTCCTAAGAACCTAGACACTGGTCCTAAATGTATTTGAGTATTCTGTTAACTACACATGGGTTACACAAACAAAATAAAATCATTCTCTCCATCAAAATCTACATATTGAAACTGGCGCTATCACCTTTACACTCAACAATTGATCCTGGAATGGCACTTTACATCTACTTAGTAAAACATTTCCGCTCTTACATGTCTTCCCTCAGTTCCTTTCTTATAAGATTGCCTGTCTTTCTTTTACTGTACGTTGTCAGCATCACTGGAAACCCATCATGAACCACTTGATTTATGCTTCATTCCAGCGTAATGGTTATTTTCTCTGAGAAAAATATCTGTGTGCTTCAAAAGCCGGTTGTAAGGTCAAGATAATTTCAAGCCTACACTGCATTGTATAACCTTCATACAGAAGAGAGAGTCAATAAATAAGGGATAGAAAAACAAAGGGGGTAAAAAAACACATTTTAGATAAAGCTAGCCACACGATGGGGACAAGTGAAGTGGTCTTATCTCCTCATGGTCTGCAGGACAGCTTATAACCATACTTCACCCTATTTTGTGTGTGTGTGTGTGTGTGTGTGTGTGTGTGTGTGTGTGTGTCCATGTGTGCAGTCACAGTGTGCCTATGTGGTGGTCTTGATACTAAATGCCTCAATCCTTTTCAGGTGACTCCATTCAGTACAGATAATTTATGTTTCAAGTAAAAGGAAAAAATCCATAAATGTAACTGGCCTGAAAAAAATTTGCAAGATTCTGTTCTCAGTCTAACCCAACAGATTTAATACATTAACACAGTTCTGCCTGTCAGGATATCTCTCACTCATATATTCTTTTATATTGTATTGTCTATCTCCATCAATGTCTGGCAGTCACCCTTTTTGATCAGTAAAACAGAGTTTTCTTATCTTGTCTCCATCCAGCAAAACGATATAAAAGCCTTACCTTATTTGACTATGTATGAGATATTGGCAAACTGCCATAAAAAGAAGAAAAAAATCCACACTCCTCCAGGCCATTTTTAACATCTATGGTGAAGGTTGCAACATCATAATGGTACGCACAATTTCTCAGGCATTTTCTATTACAATTTTGCTGTATTTCTTTTTTGTTGGCTTTACCTATCTGCAGCTGTGCTCTACATTTTTACTACATTGCGTCCTTCCTTTTCTCCTTTCCTCCTTACTCCAAGACCCTCTTTTCCCCACCTGCCTTCTTCTCTCCTCTTCCCACTCTCTTACTTCACCTTCCCTTTAAACACTCTACCTTTGTCTTTGTAAAACATACTTTATGTTTAACAAAGCCTTCAAGCTGCTCTGCTTTTAAGAGTTAACCATGTTGTAGAACCTCAATGTGGAGGGGTGGAGACATAGACGACCCCAAACTGTCACGGAAACCCATGTCGCATGTTATCAGTGACTCACCACACTCAACCGGCGGGAACCTGGGGTAAGAAAACTGTAGGCATTGGGTTGTCTGTGCATGCATGCATACATACAGTCACTTAAACCCATTCTATCAAAACCTTATCATTTTACACATTCATGTAGGAATACAAACACATACATAGAGACCCTATGTAGTGTTCTCACAATTCATCCATCCTGTTATAACTCAAGGGGTGCAACAGCAGTCCTTTGGAGTTGTGTTTATGCTGTGGACCGGTACATTCTGACATGAATGTGTTTCAGAAAAAAATAAGAAAACTATGTGTGGTGATCCACTTGTGAGCATACTATAGGAGGCTATAAGGTTATAAGTATCACACAGTACATGGACAAAAGGGAAACCTCTGTGGGGATGGCTTCTTTCAGAATATGAAATACAGCTTTGTGTCAGTCAGTTGAGGTGAATACATATACTAACTGCGTTTTGTTTAAAAAGAGTGTAGTGCGTTTAGTATTGTCTCCAATGAGATATGTGACTCATGGTTCAGGGTTTCTGCAACAGTGGAAATTGTGATATGCTTTTATGATCATGGATTATTTAAGCGTAAAGCAAGACAATCCTTGAGAGATTTAACTGACTGTGATTACAATTTCTTAAATGCTATTAAGAGAGGCTGTTAGAGCAAGCTAACCAATATCTAGAATTTGGATCAGTTAGATTCTGCTGTGTCGAAGCAATCTGACACAACTAGACGGAGCCTGAAATTTGGATAAATGAAGCTCCATTGTGACAGTGTAATTGTAACATGTCATATTAAGCATATGTCTGGGAAGTAATGGCAGGCTGATTGTGGTTTGTGTTCATCACCTCCATCTGCTCATCCATCTGTCTTGACAAATACAGCTGATTTGCAAGCAAACTATGAAACTTCTCAAGTCGCACTAATTGGGGACCTTTGATAAGGCTATGTTAAAATGACCTAATTAATGCTATGATATAATTATTATTATATTTGATTATGTACCTGCTATAGGCAACATTTTCTAGCAGTCCTCCTATATAGCATAGCTTCAGAGTGATGGACCTCTAAAACAGCTACAGAGCTATATATTAGGAATATGTACCTCCCTCATCGCTCTTTATTTAGTTTGACATATGTGAAAGCAAACAGGATTTTGAATGCACAGATAATATATGCATAATATGCATGACTGTTTTCATTCGTGTATAAACACCTGAAAATAATAAGTGTGGTTTTGTAACCTTAGAATGAGCCTTTAATACAGACGCATACAGACGCATTGGGGTTGTTTTTTTGAAGGCCGTCATGTTCAGTGTGCAAACTATACCATGACTTTAAGGGGTAGCCCAGAATCGACAAACCAAACACTGGTTCTAGATAGGGCTGTTCACGTTTTCCATCGCCACCATAGTTTCTCCTTTGTGCTTGGAAGGGGAGGGGGAAGCAAGCCACTAAATCCTACACACTGGTCTGCTTAATATGCTTGCAGAATAAGGATGGGAAGGGAACTGACCCCCAGCGACATACCCCTTGATTGATTTTGATGGGGAAAAAACAATCACTTGTGCAAAATTTAAAAAACAATTTCAAAAAGCAATTTTGAATTAGTTTTTTTTTTTTTCCATAGCAGCACTGCCCCAAATTGCAAAATGACCGTTTTTGTGTACACAGTAGAATGACCAGTCAAAATACTCACAACTCCCATGACACTTTTACCCAGGAGCTGATACAAACTGTTTACCTTAATGTTCTTAACAGGAGCTAGTGTAGCTGTTAACACTTTATGTCACACAGTTTATTGAGAATGTGGCATCAAGCTAATTACAACAGTGTCTGTATGACTGTCACAGGCTGTTTTTCAAGCAGCTCACACCCTGCCTGTCAGAAGTTAATCAATACAGTTCAATACACCCAAGAGTGACATAACCTCAGCTGTAGTTACAATAAAGGGTATCTTAGAGCAGTGCTTATCAGTATTTAAACCTCTGAAACTATGCAACATAACCATAGTATTTTGTTATTGAACACCTTAGGATACCACTTTATGCATGCAACTATCCACAGCTTTATAAAAGTCTGAAAAAAAACTGCCACAGCCTTGATGCTTTCCATCCATGCCTCTGTGAAGCCCTGTGTGACTTACTGCTCTATAATTGTCCCAGCTGAATGGTCCTCCAGGGAGACCAAATGACCTCTCACAAGAGAAAGGCTGGATCTAGTGCAGGAGAGAGGACATCATCCTTGCATAATGAACTAAGTAATGGCTCCAAAGCAACAGCACTGTGACAGCATGATGTTCAAGGAACGGAGCCACTGATACAATAAAATGTTAGCAACCAGGCAAGGACGTTTCTCTGAAGGGTTGCTGATATCAAGCACTTCACCAATTCTTTTAGGTAACTCAGTTCTTTTGGGCTACTGATGAAAAGATTCATGGTCAGTTCACTGTTTGACAAATGTGAAAATTACTCTTATGAAGGTGGTACTGCCTGCTAGTATTTATAGTTTGTTCAGTCCAATATAGAAAGTGAGGTACAAATCCAAGTTAAGTGCTTAATGGACTGAATTAAATACATTCAGTGGTATTAAGGAGTGTTGACAAAAAAAAAGGACAAACAAAGAGTTTGTTGCAGTTGTAGTGAATTGAGCCCATTTCCAGAGAGCAGCATAGCCTTCATGGAAATGAGGTTGGAAATCGACAGCGTATCTTTAAAGGTTTGACCTACAGCAGACCCATTATGCAAATCAGAGTCATTTGTAAGCATAGCGTTATGTGAGTAGCAGGTTTTATGTTAACAACATATACTATGCAAGAATTAGTGCCTTTAAAAGATTAAAAATCTGACCTGTAATTATATCACACCTATCAGTTAGTGTAGTTTTTAATAACCAGAACATGAAACAAAAATGAATAATTTCTGGTAATGTCTGGGATATCATCTGAGCTTTTAAAAAACATGAGGGGACATTATTGATAAATAATAACACTATAAATTAAAAAAAATAAAAAGCACATGAATGCTAGCTAATAGAGCGTGCAGTATGTGCTGGATGATGGTTGAGGAATCCTCACACTGTGGCTACCTTTGTATATTTCTACAGGCTGAGGGTGGTATGAAGGCTTCCTCTTTCACAGACATCTTCACTACTGAATATTTTACATCACAAGCGTTTAACTAAATGTTGCTCTCCAGAGGAATTTAGAGTACAGTAACTTCACTCTTTATGCGAATATTGCAATCTGTGACATGACAAAAATCCTACTACTAATGTGATACAAGCTGCAAGGAAATATCTCTCACGCAAGATCAGCCTTTTGAGGTTTTAAAAGTAGAGAGGATTTTTTTTAATTCTGTTCTTTACTGATCAAAAGATTTGTGCATTTAAGTGCTTTTCCCTGTTTGGTTTGATCCATATTCTCTTGGACACAGAGAAGCCATTATTTGCAGTTGTAGCTTCTTTGATGTCTCTGTATGTTTCTCTGTCAAGGTGACACCAACCGACTTGTCGGGTAATGCACATGTCAGATTGTAAAAGATGCTTTTTG